GAATAGTGAGATACTCTTCACGAGTTCTCGAATTCGATGGGTAAGAAGATCTTAAGAGATCTTTGGGTATTAGACAAACAATAATCGGGGTGTTAACTTTATGGGTTATTTGAAGATTATTTTCTTTTAAGAGATTGTGGGACACTAGTTCAAAATTCGAATTTTCAGAACTGGCAGATTAAAAATTGAACAATTAAAGATGCCCAATTGCAAAAGACGTAGAAGAAACGAATAAATGAGTAAGATGTGTTTTTATTCAAATCTTTATCAACAAAATTAATTTATGGTTCTAGCTAAACGCCCAACTGAGAAAAAAACGATCTGGGGGATTTCCAGCCCAATGTTTTCCCGCAATAAAAAATACACTTTCACAACCCCAGTGCCAAAGCTCTTAAGACTCTTTCACTCAACAGAGAATCATTCATTCACCAAAAAAAGAATTGCGTATATCAAGTCGGTTCTTATTGAGGCGACAACGGAAGTCGTAAGCCATGAAGGCTCAACAATTGAGGCGACCGGCGAAATAAAAAATAATACTTAAATCTAGCACTTAAATGCCCCGGCAGGTCTGAGAATAATCAGAAATGAAATAAGCGATACGGGAAGTAGGGAAAAAAGGGGGCCCTTCGGGGAGTGGAGACACCCTTACCTACTTAAACTTAACTCGCAGCCCATAAATTAGCCAAGATCAACACAAAAAAGGAAGGAGGCGACGATCGGAACGAAAGGCAAGGCAAACTACTTGCTACTATATAAATATAAGTGTGTGTATATATAAATCGAAAAACTGCAAGAGCCCCAGAGGCCATTTAATTAACAAAAACGAGCAGTAGCTGCGCACTGAATGAGCTTTCATTTCCGCTACAACACAGCCCAGCCACTTGGGCCATGAATGAAAATATTATAAGATATCGATCGCCCGGATCGTCGATCGGCGGTCTTCGATTCGATCTCACTCTCCATCTACACCGGGTGCAACCGAAAACTCTTTCTGCCACCAGATTTCTGGTTTCTCTGCGGTTTGGGATTCGGTTTGGGTTTGGGTAAAAGCAAAGGCAACACAACAGGCCGCAATATAATATCTATATACACATATGCAAGACGATCTGCAAGTGATCTGCCAGAGTCTGTCTCCTCGGTCTTAAAGACGGTCTTTAGGAGGCAACCAGATTGGAGGCAATTACAGTGGAGATTCTACAAATGAAATTAAAAAGCGTACAGCTTAGAAAATATCTAATAAATATTTATAAAAGTTATTTATTAAATTATAAACTATTGTTTTCTAAACGATCATATTGTAAAATTTGTTGAGGATTGGCTGTGCATTGATTCTTAGTCTCGAGTGGATAGCTTTATTCCTATATATAGATAGATACAGTTCCAATAATTTTTTTTACCTAATATACAATTTTGCTTTAAATGTTATATAACTAAATTTCTAATTTAATTTAAACCCCTTTTTTATCGAATTAGAAAAGTTTGCATAACAGAAGTTGGACTGTATTAGCCTTAGCTAGATATCCCCCTGTATAAATTGCTCGTAGACACGTACACACTCACATCCATATGGCAACGTCCATATGTTAAGTGACTGACGGATTTGGATTTGGCGCTGGGTAACGCCTCCAACTTCCGTTTGCTGTTTTGGCTTTTGGTTTTTAGTTTTTAAGTGCAGGCAGGCCGAGAGTCGCAAGAGGGAAAATAAATGTATTCCCCGGTAGATGTAGATGCAGATGATCGGTGGATGGTGGATGGTGTATGGTGAACCACTCGCTCCTCCACTCGTTGGATGTCGGTTGAATGGATGATGGTGATGTCAGTGGGAGACGACGCGGATGAGGATGAGGATGTGCGAGAGTGGGGCGTGTTTGGCTTAGATTGTGCCTTCGATAAAGTGAAACTCTTTGATGTACGAGCTGTACGGGGGCCGATCGAGGCGGATCTGATGAGACCGGAGGATAAACAAAGGCCTCTGAGTTTAAATGTATAAAAGATCAGTGAAGATTGCCCGATCGGTGCTTAATTAGCCGCGGTGACCCTCAAGGCTAAGTTTCCGAAAGGTGGGATGGATGATCATCAACAATTGGATTGACGATCGGAGAAAAGGGGAAATCTTTTAATTGAATTCGATGGGGAAGTTATTTTTTTCGAAGTGGAAACAATCCTCTGAGATCATAAACATTTCCCTAAATAGGATTGATCAGGCGATGGTTTTATTTTCGATGTTTACCTTAAAGCTGTGAAAATTTTAGACAAGAAACTAAAGTGTTTAATTCTTTTTTAATATCTCTAGAGATTTTGGTAAAAAATGTATATGGTTTTAAGTGTTATATCTTAAGTGTATACCACTTTTAAATCTGTTTTTAATTACTTCATTGTAATTGAATTCCAAACATTTCTAATTAAATGTTTATTTGTTAAATCTTGAAAATATTAACCAAATACTTTATAAAGTTCCAAGAATTATGTATATGATTTAAATTCCTCCCCCTAGAACACGGTAACTTCCAATCACTTCCCCTTATTAACCCCAAAACCAATGAACCCTCTGACCGTCCATTGATCCCTCACCCTTATTAACCCCATCGAACCGACTGCAGACATATCCCGTTACCGCATTTTGACACTTGCAATCCCCCACATTCTCAGGGGTTAAGGGTTGAAGACACCAGCGGTCAGACGACAATGGTCACCTGTTTAACCCCCGTGGCCAAATTGTGTAATGACAAACCCCAAAACCAAAACGGGAAGTGGAAGTGGTTTGGGCTCTGTCATTCTGTCGTTCATTTCGTGTGTGAGAACGGATGTTTTGGCCAGCTCGAAACAATTACGCGGACCGAGAAACAAAGGCCAGAAACCAAGTGATCGGAGTGGCCTGCTATTACAGATTTAATTATATAATTAATAAATGTAATCAACGGCCAGGCAAAAGACAAGGGCCAAAGAAAGACGACCATCTGGCAGAGAAACAGAGTCACTGGCACGCATGCGCAGCACAGCATCGAAAGGAAGTTGTCGCTGGGAGGAAGGGGCGAAGAGGGTCTGGAAGAACTGCCGAAGAACTGGAGAAATCCCCAACCCTTTCGCAGAAGAGCTCCCCCAGCTGCAAGTCAACGGAAATCGCAAAGGCAAAAAAGCAGCCGGGCAAAGAGGCAAAAGCGACAAAACAGCCACGACGACGATGGCCCAGCAGCATTCTTGGGCAGAAATGAAGTGCAGATCTAAAGTAGAATTGGATCAGGTCGGGGGAATGGACATGGACATGTGGGCCTGGAGCAGGGGTTAGCATACGATCACATGTGTGTGCCCGCGGAGTGTAAGCTCAGATTGTGGGGACTTGGTGGATGAGCTACACTAGCATGTATAACCTAATTAAAATCTATCATATATAGGAAAGCAAAAACATACAACAACATTATACATTATACTTTTAGATACCATTGAAAGTATTTTTAAAAGTCTACAGATCTATTTGACTATTTCCATTAATACAATTTAAAACAAGAAACAATAACCACCTACATAGCAAAAATTATTCAAATCGTACTACTCATTATAAAGCTATATAGATATGATAGTCCATAATTAGCAAATTCAATAGAGTGCTAGGTGGCGTTTTAGTGAAATCTACATTTTTTGCATGAATATCGCCATCCCTCTCGCACTCCCTATAGGTAAGTAACGGGTGTAGCCGACTATAGCGTTTTCTCTTGTTTTTAATTCCAATTCTTATTATTTAAACTTTTTAAGACCCCATAGAATCTATCTGAACAAATCGTAGGGTATTCCCCGCACAAAAATCAGTATTAAAGCTGGCAAAAAGCGAGAGGGAAGAGCCCATTGAGAGCGAGGGAGAGAGAGAAGGAAGACGTTAAAAAGAATGACGATGAATGACGGGAAGCGCACAGCTTAGCAGCGCTCTCTTGGATAATTGAGGAAGTTATAATTGCCAATGAATGCCTCCTGCTCCTGCTCCTGCTCCTTCTGTCGCTGCTACTTCTCCTCCTGGTAAAAAGTCAAGAGCGGTACGGGAAGCGGTATACAGAGCATAAACCCTTTGGCACAAGATCGAAGAAGCGACAAAAACCGACGACAGAGGTGGAAAGGAAACAGTTGTTGTCTTTGGCAACGGGAAACAGGACATGTCTGCGCATAAATTGAAATGAGTGTCGTCGTCGTCGTACCTTCTTCGCTTTTTTTTTCCTTTCTTTATTTCTTGTATCATCATCAACGGAAGGACAATAATTGAGGGCCCGCCAGTCGGTGGTTATTATGATGGAATTCAGAAAACGTTTTGCGACGCAATTCGTTCGGGTGATGAGCTAATAACTATTTGCCCAGCTCCCCAACACAATTGCATCACGCACATCCAGAGAGAAGACTCTATATAATGAAAATAAAACCGCACCACCTGTGTCAACAATGAAAAGCTGCCCCGCCAAAGGTAGCAAATCAAACAAACAGCTCGTCGTTGGCCTGGGCCTCCTTATTATTATTATATACTTGATACTTGACACGATTTCCAAGACAACACACAACACATATTCCCAAAGACAAGGACTTTCATTGTGCGTCCATTGTGCGCATAGAGGAAGAACCCAGGTCCCCAACAATCGCGATCTACACCGCCGATCTGCACCACTCCTAAATAAATGCGTGTCTATTGAATGGAACCTTTTGTGGAGCGAAACTCGCAGAATAGTTAAATATTTGCCAGCGAATAGATTGTGGATGCATGGAAAAAATATTGAAAAGTTGGATGTATACTTAAATTATTTAAATTTTCCCTTAGATAGAGATTTTAGTAGTGAAGCCATTTGAAAGTCTTATTCATCTTGATCAATTTAATATCCAAGGAACGAAGTAATAATTAAAATTTTTCTAAACTTCGTGTGAAGTTTCCAATGTATTATGAAGGTATTAAAGTGTATATGGTTCTCAAACCAACCAAATGATAATTTCCAAGATCAACAAATATATATTTTTCTCAGTGCACTTACCTCCTTGCTGGGCACGCAAATTGGAGTGCCCACTTTGACAATGCCGTTCTCCACCATCACGCCCATCACGATCGGATCTCGGCTGTTGAATATGAACTGTGGCAGTATCTGTGGGATGGTATCGAAAAGATAGAGACAGAGAACGGGGAATTAGATCAATGACTGTTAGATAGACGATGATTTTGTGGGGTATAACTAATAAGCGGCTCAATCGGGAACGATCGATAACGATGGGACGGCTCTTAACTACTTTTTAAATAATGTCCGATAATTATGGTGGCCTAGGCGATGCCTACAACGGACTTTGTAAGATAACATAACATCTTTGTGTCAGTTGTTACTCGTATATTGGTTACTCTACAAATTGGGTATTACGTTTAAAGAGTTTTGGTCTTTCACGAATAGAATATTTTATAACAGTTACAAGCTTTATATTATTTATAAAAGTATAGTACGTACAGAATCTGTGTACAATATTTAATATCATAGTTTAGAACAACCAAACTACCAATTTATGCATGTGTTATGTTTTTTTCCCCCGTTTGAACGTGAAAATCTGATTAAAAAATTTATTTCCTAGTGCATTTTCCTATCGTTGTGGCCCATTAATAAAGTGCACCGGCAACCTCCGACCAAAAACAGCTTTGACTGCACCAAGAACAACTTAATTTCCGTTGCGTCAACTGTTGAGGAAGGCCTCAAATGGGATGCCGCCTGCAGCAGTGGTTGAAGATGCGGCACAATCTGAATCAGCCGGCATAGAAAATGGATCGTACGTTGCCGGGAAAAACGAAAAGTGGCCCAGAGAACACGTTTCTCCAGCTCCACATGCACATGCCTATTCTCCATCTACCAGCCAACTCCTTAAGACAGAAGGCGAGTTAATAACTCAAACTAAACAACGTCATTGTTATTACAAGACCTGCGACTGGGATTTCCACTCCAGAGAATCGTTAAGTTCAAGCTGGCTAAATGCACTCGAAAAAAGGCTTATAGCTTATATAAATATAAATAACAATATAGCAGAAAATAAAGGCTCATTCAAGGTTCTGTATACAAATTATAAAAGGAACATCATATAATTTTAAAATTTTTTAAAATAATATTCTAGGGAATAAAAATTGTCAAAAATATTTCATGTTTCAAACAATTTGAGTGTAAATGATCGACCAAATGCTACCAACAGCTGTGCGCTATGTGTCCAATTACCAGCACAGTGGGAGCCCAGTGGCTAGAAGTGGTCTAGAGTGGACCAGAGTGGACCAAAGTGGCCCCGAGTGGAGTATGGAGCGTGGAGTGTGGCGTGTTGAGTCCCAACATTGCATACGACCAAAATCTAATGATTGCCTATAAATCAAATATGCTGTTTAAACATTATTTGAGCAGGAAGTGTGGACGTGATGCAGGCGTCTGTTGGGATCTAAGGCTTTAATCGCTTGTTGAGTGGTTGTCTTGGCCCGGCTAATACATATATATAGTGTATCGTAGCCCCCAGCCACCAGGAGTTTAAGCCCGTTCCATTCTTGTTGGCCAGCATCATTAAGCCAGCGTCAAGACGAGACAAGCCACAGCTGGAGATCCATTCTGGCTCTTTCTTAGAGTCGGAGTCGTAGTCGGATTCAGAATCGTAGTCTTGGTCTCATTCTCATTTTCAGTTCGCGGCAGATTGCATTTTACACCTGTAGCTTTCGGGGGTAATTGCAGCTGGGCGGAAGGTGCACAGGCGGGGAAATGGAACACGAACATGGGCACATTAAAATAATGCCCATAATGACACCGAGTCTTTCGGGTTTCCGTCTTTAATTCGTAACATCTGATACGTACACTTAAAAAAGGGTGGCCCAAAAAAAAGCATTCATTTGTAGATCCCTTTTAAAATTATTTAAAAACCTTTTATAAAAAAATGTAACGTTATGTGTATGGCCTTTTTCAAAAAATAAATCTTAAAGGATGGGTTAAAACCAGACCTATTTGTATCCAAACAAATTCTTCACTTTGTTTTTCCTACTATCAATATAATAAGAAGAAAGTCTTTAAAAATGAAAATTTTACCTCAAAGGTATAATAATGTGTGCCATCTAACGATTCATCCTATTCACTTTAAAAACTTTAAAAATTGTAAAGCTTACTTACCCTTAACTTGCAGGGGAAGACGGCTACGGAGCGGAACTCTTCGCGCTTCTTCTGCTTGAGTTCCTCGCGATAGGCGGTGAACTTATCGAACAGGTGATAGATAATGTCCGCTTGGAATATTTTCACGCCCAGGGAATCGGCCATTTCCTGTGCCTCCCGCTCGATCTTAACGTCGAATGCCAGAATTGTTGCATACCTTAAAGGGGGAATAAATAGAGATCAGTGAGATTCGTCGGCGGTAATTTAAAACAATTAAAAGTATATGCAATCAGAGAGAATGGAACTGAAACTGGGCAACCAACGAGCATAATAATAATAATAATAACAATAACCATAATGACACTGCAGCGTCGTCGTCGTCGCTGGTCTTCCTGTCTGGAAAAGAGAGAAGAGGAGGAGAAGAGTTGGCCTAATGATCGGGCCACATGGCGATCCGAGAGCACCAGGAAGCGTTAATAATTGAAATCACAAACAACCTCGCCGGATAAAATCCAACTGACGGTCGGTCAGTCAGCTCAAGATGTTGTTTGTTTAGCTTGGTTAACTTTTGCCGTGAGTGGGGCTTTCAATGACAGGAAATGGTTGGCATTTCGAGAATCGAAACTCTCCGTCGACAGGAAAAGGTCCCAAACTCAAAGTGGAGTCAGCTAATGAGGGGCACTTTTTGGGATCTCTCAAACATATCGTATATAAAAATGGAATTGGGTTGGGGATTAAATTTGTTTGGGTAGAGGCGAAAACAGTTTAGGATAGAATCCACGACTAATCGATCTATGAATTATGGGCAATTTTTGGAGCGAGGGAAGAAGATTAATAAAAGTAGAGAGGAGAACACCATTAAATTTTGATATATGGGTTATCTTATAGGTATTAGACAGGGATTGTAAGATTTATAATTAACAATTCTATAAAATCCTTAGAGTTTTTTCGTTTTAGAATTTCTGAAATTAAGTTTTATTTTAAATTCCAGAGTGGTATGGTTTATATAAGTTTGCAAACTTATGGATATGAACCATAACAATTAAGACCCTCCAAAAACAATCGCTTTCGAAGCGAACTTTTACGAGGATCGATGGGGAGTGGAAACCCCTCAAGGGGTAATAAATAGACAACCATTGTTTGAGCAGATCACTTTCGAGTAAACGAGCCAATTTTATGCATAAAAGATCACATAAAAACAGTTAAACATTTTATGGGACTCGTAAATGCGACAGCCCCAGATGGGAGATATGTATGTGCGAGTTTATATAGTAGAACCCATCGAAGGCACTTCCCTCCCGGACAGTCGGATTTTTATGGTCGCTGCTCGCAGCGTAAAATGCAAAATTTTATGGTTCGAAAATTCCACACGCGTAAAAATCATAAATAAATGAAGAGCAGCCACACATAGTCAAAGATAGTGGGGCGTAGATGTAGGTATATTTCAGGCATAACTCAAAGTGAACGCACGCATGCGCAAAAGGGCCGGAAACGGAAATGCTCCGTCTTGGGCGTAGATATAAGATACAAGATACAAGATACCAGATACAATTGCAGTTCCACTTCTATTTGCTCTATTCCGAGCATTTTCTCTACGTTTTTCGCACATGTGACAGCGTAATTTGAGTGGGCCGTAAATGTATCTGCATCTTTGTGCTGTATTTGCAGCTTTTATTGTTGCCAAGCAGAGCACAAAAATAGCTGGCAATTGGAAACCCCCACAGGACTGAAAAAGAGAAAGATATAGACACGTCCGACTGGAATGGACTGCACTGGACTATTTGGCATCACTTAACGCCGCTAATGAGACAAAGCTGCCGGCTTAAAGGTTTCGCTCTTCTATAATAAATCATGGGCATCCCAGCCAGCCCATTCCATTCCGCTTAGCTTTATCCATCCCCCTGGTAAAGTGCATTTTGTGATTGCCGCTAAATGAATCACTTAACCCGACCATCGGCCATCGGGGCTCCTTGGTCGGCTAATATCACACACAATCTTCAAAGATCCGACCATATTGCGTTGTTTATCAAGTGGCGGGTGGGTACGGTTGGGTACGGGGAATTGTGTTAATGAAGTTAAGCGGCAATAAAATTGCATTGTTCGTTGTCATATATCAAAAAGTCGTTTATTCTCGCTGTCTTGCGGACCTCTTGCTGCTTTAAGTGTTCGAATATAAAGCGGGAATGGCTTACAATGTAGTCGAAAAATGGTTGGGGCACTGCCGGACCCTATGAATAATGAAATGAAATGTGTGTGCCCCGTTGCAAAGGTGTTACATGTAAGTTGAACACGTTCTCGAGAGGAAGTACTAAAGTTATATACCAAAAAGGTGGTAAAAGCCAATCTAATTTTATTGTGGGGGTAAAAAAAGGTTCCCAAAGCAAAATTAAACTGTCAAATTGCGTTTACCCTGAGTCAAAACAATTTTATTGCCAATCTCCTAGACAGGAAGTATAATAATCCATAGTGATTGAAATACAATTCTACGGTTTTATTATCTAAAGAATTCCCCAAGTCATCACTTTTATTGCATTGATCAACACTCAGCCATTTGTCATTCATAGAAAACAACCAGCGGATCAATTTCCCCAGCTGTCGACACAATTTGTGTTTGCGAAATCCCTCAATGGGGGAGTTCAATAAACCCCCACGAAAGTGAATTTGATAGTGGAAGTTCCACTACTCGGAAACCTCTCGGCTGTACAAATTTCCGCATTCAGCAAATTCTCAAGAACTCTGATATTGTATAATTTCGTATGACACATCCGCAAAACAAAATTGAAGGGGAAAAGTGGACATAGAAGCGATAGGTTTGGGCTTTACTTACTGCGCCTCGTGTTCCAACATTGTGGAGGCCTTCATCACATCGCGTTTCACTACGGGACCAATACGGATAGCAGAGTACTGGAAAAAATAAATAAAAGGTTTTCGGGTTAGATCAAAATTAGCATATCCTAAAACTAGCATATAAATATAAAATAAAATAAAATACCAAAATGTTGGAAATACTTATATTATTTTTCCTATCTAATAATTCATAGTGTTGGTATTTAAAAATACATTCATTCTTTAAAATAAGGCATATTGTCAACCATGTGGCTGCAAAGTTTTCCTCTCTTTTGCTGGCCCAAAAGCAATTGACCCAAAGAAAACTTTGTCTATTCTTAGTCAAATGGCCATAAAAAAAATAAACGAAATAGAAACAGAATCTAAACTAAACAAGCAGTCCACTAAAGTGAAACATTTCTCAAACGTCCAAGTGGCCAGGAGACATTGGGTGGAAACTCTGACGATGAGTTCATTCACATCGAAGATGTTCAATTTTTATTTTGTTTTTCCTTTTTTTTATTTTTTTTGTTCGTCGCCAGATGATTACAAATGATCATTGATAAAAATAACAGCAGCGGCGCGAGAGTCTGACATGAATGAATGGTTGGATGGTTGGATGGTCGGATGGTTTGGGTGGGTTGCTTTGGTGCTGTGGTGCTGGGGACTTCAATGAGTGGGGCAAATGGAATTTGCTGTCGATAGCGACTTAATTGCGCCACCGGATATGCACGCGCCGTTGATAAGACCGAAATAATGAGAGCCTCTTGAATGAACCCACTAACAACTGGCAGTACAACTCGTTTTACTCTCTCTTTTACAGCTGTCTGATAAATTGAAATGTCGGCTTATCGCGTAGATTAATCGGATTAATTTAAATGCCAGTTTATCGCGGGCATAAATTAAGTATTATTAAAAGGCTGCTATTGAATGGTCAAAAAAGCTTATAGATATAGTCCATGTTTGTGGTATTGTATATCTTTAAAAAGCATAGAATGTGAATTTTTTTTGAGACTTGGTCATTAAAATATTTATTTTTTTTTAATTAAATTACATAAAGTCTAGTGGACCAGCAATTTCTTTAAAATTACACCCAGACATCGTAGATACTCCACTGACGTCATATAATTTCTGCCTTTTTGCACAAGTGTTTCGATTGTAAATTGAATTCAATTACAGCTTAACCCATTCATGAGCATTTCATTCATTACTGCGAAACGCCTCAGCTGCTGGCGCTGTTATAAAAGAAATTGTGTGTAACTAACGGATGGCAAATAGGAAAAATATACACCAACAAAAAAATAATAGAAAAAATAGCAAGAAAACCGGGAGAGAAAGAGTTTTGCAATCAGCAAAACAATGAATGAAATCGGAAGTTTATTGTTGTATGCAATTGTGGCACAGTAGCAACAAAAGCGAGCAAGAAAACTCACAGTAATTGAGGAGGCGAGAAAGAGAGCAGTCGTCGATTGCATGTAAAGCGGAAAACGGGTGCAAACGGAAGTGATAGCCAAGTGCCCCCATTTATGCACTCAAAACATTTATTTTCTAGATCTCGAAACCCATTTTACAAATGTTGTACCTCATAAATACTAAAAAAATACTGAACTATCAAAAAAAAAATACTGAACTATTAAAAAAAAACATTTAATAAAAGAAAAACGTAAAAAATATATAATTGTATTAAATGGGAAAAATTAAACAAATTCTTAAGAACAATTTGAAATAGATTTGCAATTATGATTTATACCATGTTACAGAAAATATATAATTCTCCTATTACCGACCTGGACCATAGGAAGCGCCAAAAATTCGCACGGGTTATAAATTATTTGTAAAGGTGTCTAAAAGTATGCTACAACAAATTGTTCACCGAATGCTTTCAGACACCCTTTTTAAAAGACTACAAAACCTCATTGAATTGGCCTCCAGTTCTATGGTTTATTTTAATGCGTCCAAAATATATTTTCACCAAATGGAGATTTATTTTAAGACGATTTTTCAGTGCGTTTCTATGGGACCTATAAAAATAGTGGGTGTGGGGGGACTTTCCACGTGGCAGCCGGCAGTCGATTTCCAGCTGAATATCATTTCGCACAAACAATCAGAACGTGCTACTGACTGACGCAGCAACATCCACATCCACGTCCATGTCCGCAGCTCCACAATTTCACAATCGGCATCAGCAAAAAGGCCAGAAAAGCCAGAAATCGGAGACGAGAAAAGCCGTTTGCCAGTGCTTTTGCGCAGAATTTGTGGGCGGGATGTGCGTAAATGGCAAATGAAAACGCACACGAACGGCAAGCTAATTAGCAGGAGAGCCTGGCTAACGTGGAAGCCAAGGGTGGAGGACCACGCCCACCACCTGACGCCCCCTTTTCTGCTGACGTCAAGTGGCAACGCCACTCAATGTTATCGATGATACGAGCGAGGAGCCAAGACAGGTGAGCACATTGAGCAAAAAGTTCTCAAACAAATTTATCGGAGCCATAAAAATAATAAAATATTTTTCAAGAAAAGTTTTTTAAACGCATTACCAATGAACTAGATTTTAAAATTATAAAACGAAGAAAATTTTAGAGATTTCAGAATCGATTTTTATCAGAGTTACTTAATATTTACTTTACTGGAATATTTTCAAGATGATAATTACATTTTGTTTTTTACTCTCGACATGTAAATTGCTCATAAAAGCCTTAAAATTGTTCTAGCTTAGTTTTTTCCCAGTGCACAAATAAATTGTTTTAAATTTGTTAACGCTGCCTATGATGCCAATTTTGATGAGAACAACCAAATTAATGGCATATGTCGTCTCTACTGACTGACAGACAGCCTAAACAGCTGATTAATGTCGAAGAACCTTCGTTACGGAATTGGAAAATTGCGGCGATTTCGAGAAAATGCCGCACGTTCCTCGTGAACTTCCGTTTCGCTTTGGGGCTCTTGAATGCAAACAAATATCTATTATTTTCAACTTCAACTTCCTTTCCTTCCAAAAATACGGTCGCTACGTGTTTATGAATGAAAATTAAGCAATAAGCTCTGGAAAGTATCTGTGAGATACTCTGCGTATTTGTATGCGTGTGATAGTGTATCTGAGTGTGTGTGGGGCAGGAAGAATTGCTTCCGTTGTTTTTTGTTTTCGTCTTTCCATTTATACATTCATTCATTTACTCATTCACTTGGGTTCACTCATTCATTCATTGTTTTTTTTTCACTTCTTCCTTGCTTCTTTTTTATACCCTTGTGGAGGGTACTATCATTTTAACCGGAACTTTACGAGTCAGAATAATATTTTGTACGTTTATATCAAAATCGTAGGCTTACTGTAGCAGTTTCACAAATCAAATTCGAAGTCTTTATAATAGAGATAAAAGTCAAATCTAAGTCTTATCTATCTTAGTTATTACTGTAAGGGTATGTAAACTTCGGGTTTCTTGTTCAATTTTTCATTTTGTTGTTTTTTTGTTGGGGCAATCTGTTTTTGTTGTTTTTGGCAACTGCGTCGCATTAATGAAAACATTGGCATTGTCTGCTTCTTACCTCACTTCCTTCCTGCCAACCGCCGTAATGCCCATCTAGTACTACGAAACACGCTAAACATGAGAAAAAGAACCACGACCGCAGCGAAATTAAATTCATTCATGAAATTCAACGAAGAGCGTCCAAAAAATAATAGGGGCGGAGAAGAGGGTTAAGCACCCAACAATGGACATTTCTGGGTCCGGTCTTTTCTTCGGGGTCGCATTTAGCCCCTGCCTCACCCTTCTCCATCAAACTATTCATGAATGGGCCCCCGAAGACGTCACGGTACACGATCTAGCCAGTTTTTATGCCTTCCATATTTCCCAAGATATTTGCGTGGCATTTTTGTTTTTTGCTCTCTAATTGCGTAGCTCTTTTGCCTTATTAAAACGTAAAAATAAATACACAAATTGAATTTTAAAAAAAGTAGAGGTTGATAAAGACTACATTTTATATAATATGCTTAAGTTAAATCAGTATAAAATGCATTCAACCAGTATTTATTGAGTATAAATTAAAAAAATTTGTATAAAACTAATATTACATATACTTTTTAACCTATATATAACCCAACCAACTAAATATTTGGATTTTTTTGGCTATATTTTGCTTTTGAAATTTAGTAAGCACAATAGGTTTAAAAACAAAAATATAACAATACTAACTCTCAATAGTTGACGTATTTTTGAAAAATACTAAACAGATACGAATGACATTTGATATATTTTTTCAATAGATATCTAACATATTTTATTGGTAAGGTTACAAAACCGTACATGGGTGTCCTGAAAAAAATTAGGAAAACTGGCTAACGTGGCTAATTCTTTCCTCACCTGCTGCGATGTAACATTGATGTCCACCCAGACGAATATGCTGGCCAAAGTGGCTAATTATCTTAACTGCCACTACTGTAGCTTCTGCCGCGAGTGGGCGAAACCGCAAAACAGTTGGCACTGGATTTTGATGATGATGATGTGGATGTGGATGTAGATTCGCATAGTTTCGAATAGTTTTGCGTTTTGCATTTCGCATGCAAACGTGCAAATGCGGTGCCAAATGGCGGCCCCAAACGGACGACAAGTCGCCGAGCATGACGAGCTGTATTTGCGAAACTTTCTGTTGTTTACTTTTAATTAAAATGCATGTGGGAATCAAATTACGTCGGCCATACACATTTGCGGCCGACTGCTAGGTATATATCTGCCCACCTGGCCCACCTACCAAATCCGATTCCGACTCCGACTCCGAATCTGAATCCAAAACCAAAACCAAATCCAACACCAGCAACAACAAGTGGCACACAATTATGGCAAAGGCAACCGCAGCACAATGAATGCATAGGAATAGTTGATGGCTACATAATTACATTTTCGCCCAAATGCAGCGACAGCATCTGGTGGCGTGGTGCTTTGGATCCCACTGGCGGAGATGGAGGATGATATATCCACATAGTATATATATGGGGAGAAAGGAAGTGGGGTGGGTTGACTGGTTGAAGAACGAGAAAAGGCAGTCGGTGCTGCGAATTTATGGGAATTCAAAAGACTGTGTAG